CACCACCAACGATGGGTGCACAGGAGCGTTTACTTGCAGTTGCCGCGACCAGAATGCAATCCATTCGGTCTGAGTTGTGTCCGTGTGACATTCATAGCCGAGCTGGTGTTCTTCAATGGATTTCATTGTGTGGTTTCTATTTTTTACACGGAATTGGCACTCATCTACAGCCCGCTGGGGCGCTCGTCCATAGAGAGTGGTTCATTGTTATATGTCCGTATTGGTCCTGACTCCAGTGGCTTTTGCATGATTCTGATTTGAAGTCACCTAGCAACAAGAAGCTACTAGGTGGAGGCCATCGCTATTGGGTTGGAGGCCATCGCTAGTAGAAACAAGAAGCTACTAGTAACTGGAAGCTACTAGTTGAAGTCACTCCAGGCGCATTTGCCCAAGCCAATGCCACCACCACCATCGCCATGCCGGCAGTCTGGCTTGCAATGGTTGAGTGAGCAGGCACATGCAACTACCAGACGATCTTTTTGTTTTGCAGTCCTTGGCTCTGCAAATGGTTTGCCATCCATGCCAGTCCCAGAAGACGACCAACTTAGATCAATTTAGAACAGAATACCCAGTTTGAACCACGATTGCTCCAGTCGCAATACAAAGCCACGCATTCGCTGTTTATCATGTGTTCCTTTTTTCACAGTCAGCCACCCCTTGGAGCCTATCCCAATTCCCAAGACCTTTTAGAGATGTATTTTTGGACAGGCCCACCCATCGAACCTGGAGCTTCAAGAGGAGGTGAAGCGTCTCAAGTTGGAGAATTCGGAACTCAAGAAGGCATGGGAAAGCACATTGCGGAGGTACTTGAGAAGTAACAGAAGAGAAACAATGTGGAATGGAAATTCAGCTCTTGAATCCAATGCTATTAGGTTGGAGCCCATCGCTTTTAGGTTGGAGGCCATCGCTATTAGTGTAAAAACATCGCTAGCAGCACTTTGGAGGCCATCGCTAGCAGGTTGGAGACCATGGCGTGATTGGATGCTCAGGACGCTGAAAGACTTGAGACGGAGCTCGAGGAAGTGCGCCGCAAGTGGGTGACCTGGCAAGACTTGCCACCCACACTGGCAGGGATCCTAGTTGCACAAGCACGGCCACGATGCGAGCAGGCTAGGTCTAGGTCAGGACTGAAGGCGTTTGAAGCACGAGGGTGACTTGAGAAGACAATTTTGTTGGCTGTTCATACCTTCTGACCATGCCCCTTCGAATTATTTTCATGGGACATTTGCATCTTTGCGCTCGTTGTGTGCCTTGCGATTGCTTTGCTGGCCAATATTCCTAGGCTGCGGAGATGATTGTTGATGTAAGGGAGCTGCGCTACAGCCAGTTGACAATTCAGGGCAGATGGTTCAAGGACGGGGAGCGTCTCCAATGTTTTTTTCTTTCCACCTTTTGACCTTTTTCTTGAAATGTAGCTAGAAGCTATTAGGTTGGAGGCCATTACTACTAGTTACTAGTAACAAGAAGCTACTAGTAGCTATAGGTGGGAGCTGTTCGCGCTGCCTTGCCCAGGAAGAAGACGGCCAGCCTCGCCGATCACTCGAGGATGAGATTTCCTTGACCTTCTTCAAATATTGTTTCACTATCCAATTGCAACACAGTGAAATGGTGATGAGACCCTTAGGAATGTCTTTCTCTCTAGCTGGGTTTCATGTATATGAATATTGAATATGTATGATGTAAGTGACACCGTGACACCAACACTCACCTTGTTCAAATGCTTGTCTCGAATCGGAGACTGGTGAGTTTCCAGTGCCGAGCACTGTGGAACCTGAAGAGTTGTTCCAGTTTGAGCCTGATTAGCTCTCCTGTCACAGTGCAGGAGCTGATCGACGCACTGAAAGCCGGGTCGATAAATCCAATGCAAGCAGACTTTTTGAAGTTGACGGTTGTGCTGAAGATGGACTCACAGGGCCAAAAGGCCTTGTTCTCCACGGACTGAATGTGTTTGCCTTGCACATGTGAACTGGCAAAGCTCTGGAAGCCGCCAGGACAATCGCCGACTTTATTGCTTGAAGGAGTACCAGAGGGAAATTGGTTCCACGCTCAATATCATGTTGCTTTCAGTGTGCATCATTTGGTTCCCTTTGAAATTCGAACTTGTTTGACAATGTCTTGCGAAACGCAGTGAAGCAGCTCACTATTGTGCAAGAGCACCTGTTCGTTTCAAGGCAACAAGCCTGTTCCTGTTCGAGTACGCATTTTTACCTGGGCAGATGTCCAAGATGGAAGGAGGATTCTTCGGCCGCTCGGAGAGAAAGAAGAACTTGATACCATCGCTGAATCATTTCAACCGCCGTGTAAGCTGCAGGAATTGTGACGAGACCGATGGGCACTCCATCCAAAAGCGGGACGGGTCGAACAGATCAAGGCTGGCAAAACATGGCAAAACGACAGAGTGACACAGCTGAAGAGGGAACCCTACACGAATGATGAAAAATGAGCATTAGAAGCGATGGCCTCCAGGTCCTTGTAGTAAGGCCAGGAGCCCCTAGTAGCTTTGTTGCTCCTAGTAGCGATGCCAGGAGCCCCTAGTAGCGTCCTTGCTCACATCTAGACTCTAGACTCACTTTCTTATCTTTGTTGTGACTGCTAGATACCATGACCAATCAAAGGCTGAGCAATAGTTCCTTGTAGATGGCATGTTCTTTTGCATGTGTTCCTTGTTTAAGCAGGTAGTTAGAGGGTGTTGCCTATCGCACGGTCCGCAGCATGGTCCGCATTTGGTCCACCAAATGCGTTTGATCGGGCATTGGAAAAGGCTTCCCCTGTGCTCTGTCTTGTTGGAGCGACATGTGCAGCCCAGGTTGGACCAAAAGGAGATGACCCTGGATGACCGTCATGGGGAGAATATGTGAGAATAGAGGAACGGTTGAGATCAACACGTCCACTTTTGGATGACAAATGTACTCGTGGATGATTTGGCCAAGTTAATTGGGCAGACAATCTTGTGGCAGGATCAGTGTTTCTGAATGTCGCCATTATTGGTTCAGCTCTGACACTTCGGTGCGAATTCAGAAAGGTGGACGCGAAATATTTTGACCAATTGCAATCATAGGGGAATTGCACAAGCTTGCAGCACGGCCTGCTTGTTGACTGCCGGTAGGCTGCAGAGGGCTTCCTCTTTTATTCCCCACACTGACATCAAATTCGACGGAGATGTTGTCCTGGAAGTGACACCACTGACAGTCTAGTTGTTGCCCCGTGTTTCCCCTAAACAAATTGAAACTCAACCACTAAACCGACGTAGCGGAAGAAACAATTTTCTTGTTTGACTACTAGGATCACCAACCTGCCAGGTCTACATCACCCTGGCCCTCACCCAGGCCTAGGTCACCCTGGCGAGCTCAGTGAAAGAGGCGGAGATGGGGATTTCTTGGGACGCTGAGAAACGAATCCAACATCTCCAGAAGTCGTGCGAGAACGCTCCCAGCCTTTTGTGTCGACAGATCTCCCTGCCCCGAGATCTTCACAGGATATGTGAAAGCAAAGCTACTGAACCTCGCAAGAGGAACAATCGCTACTAGGAGCAAGGACGCTACTAGGGGCTCCTGGCCGTACTACTCACACCACTTGCGGTCGCGTCATGCCGCTTCCCAAGACCCTTCGTCGTGTTGACGGGTATCTGGGAGTTTGGTCGATATCTTCTTGTAAGACATAATGAAGACTGTACAAAGTGAACCAAAAATGGTCGATAAACCGACGTGAAACCGAATGTCCGCGCCAGGCGTGTGTCGGGAGCGAGCATCAGTTACACTAGCGGTAAATTACCAATTAGGTGCGGGCGGGATAGCAATGGTGTCAAGGTCGAATTGGTGATGCCAAGCCTGGCGTAATCGTCTGCGATACAGGAATCTTTGCTCAAACGTCAATGTAACCGGTTCGACAGCATGGAAGGATGGGGTGACAAATTTCATGGGAATCAATCCATCCGGATGAAAAGGAGGTTTGCAGTGGAGGTCTTCAGTGTATTTGACTAGGGTACGTTGAACGGCACCTGCATTGGGGACCTCTGGCCGAGACACGAAACCTCCAGTATAAGAGCGTCCCCATCCGATTTGGGTCAGACTAATAGAGCCAGTTTTCGAATGGGCCGGGAGCAGTGGTGAACTGGTATATTTTTGAAGGTACAGAACTATCGTACGGAAGGCTTCAGCCTGTTCACGTAAAGATCTGCGAGATATGGGGAGTGCTAGGACCCTAGGGTCTTGCCATGGGAATGGCTGAGCGCGTTTGGCTGTTTCCAGTCGGATCCAAGTAGGGAATTGAATTCCCGTATTAACTACGAAGGCAATGGTGAGCTCATGCCAGGTGATGCCTTGCTTGGCGATCGGATCTGTCAAAGGGATGGTGGGATCGGGCCATCGCAAAGCGGCACAAAATTGGAGGACTAGATCGGCATATTGATTTCCCCATACGCAAGCGGTAAGAAAGCCTGGATGGATAGATGGCTGTAGCTGTTGGCTGAGGGAGGTGATGCGGTAAGTCTCACGTTGGCGATACAACGCCCCCCAATCAAGAGCTGCCTCCTGGGATAAATCCTCGGCATTCTGCCTATGCGATTTTTGCTTGAGATAGACATGATGTAGATTAAGATCCGCCAAATAGGTTAAAATGCTATGTGACTGACGATATTGGTCACCATGCCATGTATGGGCCTTATGGAAAAATGTATCCAGAACTGGATGATCAATTTGTCTAGCCCGAACGGCAGCATGATCCGCCCAAGAATTACCTACAGCATCATCTCGCTCAGATCCAGATGGTATGGCAGCAAGATTTTGATGAGAACGTACCTTACGGACGGTAAAGCGGGAGGAGTGCCAGTGGGCTGCCAGTTCTTGGAGCAAATCAGCGTGAGCTAACCTATACCATGTAGGAGAGCTGGTTGTATGGGTAACCTGCTGAATGAGGTTGATGACGTACTGGGAATCGGTGGTGATAACCGTATGCTGTGACCATCGCTGCTCGGCTGCGTGTCGAACGATCCAAGTGACAGCTGCTAGTTCTGCTCGCGCAATTGATTGCGGCCCCTTGAGATGCTGGATCTTGATCGTCAAGTAAGGGGCCGTGTTGGAATGAGGTTGAAATTGGATGACAGACCAAGCTGCGCGTCTTGTTTCCGGATGGAGTGGAGTATCGGCTGAACCATCTGTATAGAAATACAGAGTGTTGGCTTCCTGACGAATGGTCGTATGGTCGGTATCCTGACCCCTACATGACAAAAGTTGACGGAGGGTAGAAATTTCAGGGAAAGAAACCGGCAGAGGCAGCCAAAGTTTCTGGGGATTGGACTGGAGGTAGGCGATGGCTCTGGGGTGTCGCTGACGGACTGTCAGGAAGGCTGGGCATTCTAACTGTTGATGTGCGTGAGTATCCACCTGATCACAGAAGGGGCAACGTTCGCTGACTGTGGAAGTCCATGTAGCTTTAACGGCTGCTACTTGATAGCCACCTGTTAAATTGTATGCAATTTGGCGTACCGTAGTGGCTGACATCGTACGCAGTACTCGTGACAGTATATCATAATCAAAAGGAAAATCTGGGACGCCTTTTCGGTGGCAAATCTGTCGATGTACATGATATGCCCAGGCACGACGAAGGTGGGATCGAATATGCCGCAAGGAATCGAGTTTGACCGAGACGGAAAGGCTACCATCTAAATTAAGACACCCGTCAATGGACAGAGACCACCCCACTAGGCCCAGATATCGTGCCAGGGCTCCGGCTGGGCCCACAGCCGACCCTTGGTGCGAAACAACGGTGCTAAGGAACTCCTGTGCTAAGGGTGGGTTGGTATAAAAGAGTCTTCGCAGGAAGGACACCGCTGTAGATATCACATAGAGTAGCGGGTCTTGCAGTTGTGGACTAAAAATGTGGACCGCTAACCAACTGGAGATTTGAGATTCCGGACCGACCAATGCCATGGCGGCTTCTCTACGCAATGTTCGGAAGTGTTTATCGCCCACTATTTGGGTTTCTGCTCCAAAAAAAGCGTGTGGCCATACAGCTGTCTGGATGAAACGAGCCTTCTGCAGAAGATCTGCTTGAAACCAGCGGATGCGCTTGCAGCGTTGGACGGCATTTTGTATTTTTGTCTTAAGGTTTCCCAGTGTAATGTGCCGGGTGTAATGAGTCATGCAACCTAAGTCTTTTGTGGAGTTCAGAATGTGCACTTGATTATCTTGAGGAAATTCCTGATGTAGAAACTCTTGCCAATCTTTACGGGCTTCCGCTGTCGCCCCCCAGGCCCATGATTTGGCATAATCGATTTGCACGCGAAAGGCATGAACAAGATCCTGGATCTTACGAAAAGCTCGAATATTATCTCGTTGATTAGTGGTGAGGTACGACCAATTATCAGCGTAAGCATATGGGAACACCGTGGGTGTGGACAACCTCCAGTAGAATGCTGAAGATGTGACCAGCATGGCACAAACAGAAAGACTATCACCTTCCGGAACCCCAGTTGTCATAGTAATCTCGGGGCCAATAGCTTGACGAACCTGTAACCGGCGGGTTAATTTCGATAGATTGAGGAACCAGAACTTGATGGAGGCGGGTGGAGCTCCGTGATGAATAAGCAAATGGTACAGCACCCGACGTGGTAACAAATTAAAGGCTTTGATCAAATCAAGAGTAAATCCACGCCATGGTAAAGTTCGAGTCTTAGCGGATTCAATCTGAAACTGCTGCATGAAGGTGATATCTTGGACACCTCGGAAGGGAAGACCCCCAGAGATGGCACTGGGCCAGGTCAAAGACCAACGGCTTAATAGTTGATCCGCAATGATCTTCGAAGTTAAGCGACTGATATAGCCTAGGATGGTAATGGGGCGACCATCCGAAATGGATGTCGCTGGAGTCCTTTTGGCAAGTAGGATGACCCTTGCAATCATCTGATGAGTAGACAGGCCAGAAGGCCACAGCTGGGCGAAGATATGAGAAAGATCCTCTATTGCGCAGTGTGGAAGTGTCTGGAGTTCTTCGGCTCGCCACCCATCGATGCCAGCTGCTTCGAAAGGTTTCAGTTTATGGATTGTTTGTGTTAGTAGTTGAGAGTCATTCCACACTACGGGTAGAGGTGCTTGAGGTGGTATCCTATTGCGGAGAGACTGGAGAATGTCTGTCCATGAGTCGTCACTGGTCTCGTCCTCCGGGGGATCTCGATTCCAGAATTGGGACCAGTAATTTGCGAAAGGTGTCGTCATTTCCGAGATATCGAAAGCATACACATTTTGGATCGCAGTGTCATGGGCTGGTATAATTCCGTCAAGAAGCTGACATGTCAAGTAGTTATCTTGCTGGGCGAGAATACGTAAAGTAGCCGTTCCGAACTTGACTGCAGCGAAAAGACGAAAAGTGACAGGTTGGTGGATGATTAACCGAACTGGGCCCTTGGTGTTTCGTAGAAGTGTAGCTTGGGCTTGAATTGCAACTGGAAACCCTGGCAGGATTTTGGTTTCGTGGTCCTTCAATCGTTTGTAGAAATGAGAGCCGGACTTATGTTTAATATCGAGATCAATACCGTGCTTGTGGGACAGCCGTCGAAACTTGGCTTCTTGTTGACAATATAAATCGGCATCGTATTGGGTTATTTGTCGGACATTATATAGTTGGTCAAATGTAGGGAGGTCAACTGATACTGCAGGGATGTACCCGTTGGCCTTACATATGGCCTGCCAGACCAGACATAGGGCGTTATATGCTGGCACAGTAGCCCACTGGTCCTGTGAAACTTGCGAGAGATGATACTTCCTGTACATTTGTTCAAGACACCTGAGGCGGCGCACTTGCCGTACTTTTTGCTTGCTTTTAAGACATGTGACTTCAACTGGTGGATCATAAAGACCTGAAGCGTCCTTCTTGGGAGCCATCGGACAGGGAGTACGGACTAGTTTGGGGGTAGCACATCGACCCCGGTATGTTTTGGGCAGAGATTTTTGAGTATGAGCCCAAGGATCCAAGACTTGTTGACGTCGAAGAGCACGATCGACTGCGGTCTCAACATGAGATGACCATTTATATAAGCTGACAGCAGCGTCGGTAGATGCGCCCCACTGGTATTGGGTTCTGACTTGACGGTAACTGGCGGCAAACAGCTTGGCATCGACGGGGAACAGTGTCCATGATTTTGGCACAAACCAAGTGAAAGACTGCACATGACGTGTTGGAATGTCAAATGTGGTATGGACGACTCTGTGATCTGCAAACTGATGTTCTGGTCCAAAATCAACACATCGGATATATTTCAGGAGAAAAGGATGGAAGATCATGGAATCGAACCGTGTCGCACCTTTACATGTCGGTGGCAGTTCAAAGCTAAATGCTGCACGATGAAATTCAAACATTTCTTGACAACCCATGTGAAGAAATGTAGAGAAGGCATCTAGTTTGCGCACGTCCATATTAAAATCTCCAGCGATGATGAATGGTATATCGGTCTGAATCACATGTAACAGAACATCTCGTAGAAGTTGGTTATTGACCACCCGCGCTTCTGCAGATTTTCCAGTTTGAAAGTACGCGGAAACGATCAAAACATCAATACATCCGGTGGAGACGATTACACTAGGAGCAAGGACGCTACTGGGGGCTCCTCACCGTACTACTAGGAGCAAGGACGCTAGTAAGGGCTCCTGGCCGTACTACTAGGAGCAAGGACGCTACTAGAGGCTACTCGCCGTACTACTAGGAGCAAGGACGCTAGTAGGGGCTCCTGGCCGTATTACTAGGAGCAAGGACGCTACTAGGGGCTCCTGACCGTACTACTAGGAGCAAAGACGCTACTAGGGGCTCCTGGCCGTACTACTAGGAGCAATACTAGGAGCAAGGACGCTACTACTATAGCGAAGGCCTCCGACCTAAGAGCGAAGGCCTCCGACCTAAGAGCGATGGCCTCCGACCTATTAGCGATGGCCTCATTTGAATGGCCTCCAACCTAAGAGCGAAGGCCTCCGACCTCAGAGCGATGGCCTCCAACCTACTATCGATTGCCTCCAACCTAAGAGCGATGACCTCCATGCAAATTGGAATGGCCTCCAACCTAATAGGGATGGCCTCCGACCTAAGAGCGATGGCCTCCGACCTAAGAGCAATGGCCTCAAACCCAATAGCAATGGCCTCCAAGCAAATTGGAATGGCCTCCGACCTAAGAGCGATGGC